TGGGATAACTCTAAGATCCCATTTCGATTATTAAAAAGTAACATTAGAAAGAACTATTGATGCTTTTTGCACCTGGGAGCAAAATGAGATGAAATATGAATGTTATTCACGTAGAAATCCAACTAAAATTGAACAAAAAAAAAAAACAACAACAACTAAAATTGAACAATAACAATCAAATTAGATAAAGTAAAAGAGCCCAGCTTTAAAAGTATAAAATTAGAAGATTCACAACAAATGTAGAAGCCTGAATCCGAAGTTGCATAACTACAAAGTCAGTCGTAGATGAAACATATTTAGAGTTAAGTTTTAGTTGTATTGCTAAAATAAATTGCTGCAGTTGTCATCAATATAATCCAATTTCGGTATTATCCATCTAAGTTCCAGTCTTAGACGTAACTTCTATGTGTAATAATAATGTAATTATTGCTCGTTTGATTGTAGATACATGGATAGATTCAAGTTTAGATTATCACAATATTAAAACTTTTCAACCTTTTAAATCATTAGAGCCAATATTATTCCTCACCCCTACCCCCCTTAACTTCCCTACCCCCACCCCCAAAGGTCTGTTCAAAGGTTATTTTATAAAACATACAAAAAGYAAGCTATTTCAATAATAAATATCCCATACCTCTGCATCATCCTTGAGGATCCATTGTGGCAGCTCTTCCGCTGCAATCAACCTTGTCCTGTTGCCTTCCTGGAATGGAAACCRATRGTAAATATAATGTGATTTCTTGCACTAAAGTGAAACCTCTACACCTGACCAAAAAAAATCTACAACTTTTAATATATTATGTCTTTTGTTCTTGAGAGATTAAACAATAAGGAAAAATAGACATATATATTGAAAGTTGCAGAATTTTTTTCATTAGGTGTACATGATAAAATCTTATTATACAACAACAAAATTAAGATAATGCCATGTCAAAACATACCCTCATATTCTGCCGTCTTCTTTCTTTGTCCATTCTCTGAATAGAAAAATAAACAAGAATGTAAAGTATCCTGGAAGTATATTTGAGACAGACAAACAAAGAGAGAAATAATCACAAATAAACAATATAGAAATTCAAAACAGTTTTCCATTCATACAATGGTGTTGCTATGGTGTTGCTATGGTGTTGCTAGGGTGTTGCTAGGGTGTTGCTATGGTGTTGCTAGGGTGTTGCTATGGTGTTGCTAGGGTGTTGCTAGGGTGTTGCTATGGTGTTGCTA